GGGTCGCTGTGAGTCAGGCACTTTAACAACAACAAAGAGTTTTTTGATTATTATGTACCAAAATACACATTGTGTGCCCTTCTAAATTTCAATTTATGCCAGTGGTCTTAACTGGGGACAGTTTTGCCTCACAGGGACATTTAAAAGTTTTAAATTTATTTGGAGTTTGGTGTGGCACTGCAGGTTAATGTGCTGGACTGCAAGGCTGGTTTGAACCGCAAGGTTGGCAGTTCAAACTCACCAGCCACTCCACTGAAACTCTATACAGGTTTGCTATGAGTCAGAACCGACTTGAGAGTACTTAACAACAACAACGTTAATTTACGGCTATTGTTGAGAATATACACAGTGGAATATACACCAGTTCAACCATTCGTACATGTACAATTCAGTGACGTGCATTATATTCTGTGAGTTGTGCAGTCATTGCTACCATGCCTACTTTTGAGTTGTTCTTCCCTTATTAACAGAAACTCGCTGCCCCATAAGGTTCTGAGCTAGTGTGTCCAGTTTCTGCTGTCACTTTGATCACATACAGATAGTTCTTATAAGAGCTAATACTCAGGACAAGCATTTTTTACTACTTAAGCTAAACTAGTATTTGGTTTTAAGACTTGAGGGATGTTTTTGGTTTCATCTAAGGTTTAAAGATTATCTCCAGGCAATTGTTTCAAGGGTTCATCCAACCTCCATGGTGCCAAAAAAGCTGGATTCCATGCCAATGTTAAATTCTGTTCTTTAGGGTTTCCCCTTTTGATCTAGATATTCAGTAATGGGAGCGGGGCACCATAAAATTCTGGTCTCATGTAAAAGGAGGCATTTGTTTACGTAGGCAATTAGCCATCCGTCCATCTCCGGCTCCTGTTCCTGACTCTTCCTCTTCCTCTGTTGATCCAGACGATATTCTTTTTTGTTGTGGTGGTGGTTGTAAATGTATGAGGGGGCTTTCAAAACATTTGTTGAAAAATGGAATTGAAGTATAATAGAGTTTTTCTGCCAACGTTTTAAAGTCCCCTTCTCTATGTAACAAAATATTTGGCATTTCAATAGTTCAGTGACACCATGTTCATTGTCTGGTTAAACCATCACCATTTTCTGTTCCCAAATTATACCATCGGTGTCCCCTAACCATTGAGTCTTCTTTCTCCCCTCATCACTGTCCTCCCTAGCACAGACACTTGTGTACTCCAGAGATTTCATATATGAGGGTAAGCAAAAACAATCAGTGCTATAAAATCACAGAAACTTTTATTAAACAAAACAATTAAAATCTGAAGCTACTGTTTCTCATCATATCTCCATGTAGGACTACATACCTCTGAAAGCAGTGTTTCCATCTCTCTATAACTCTGGTAGCCTAGTGGTTACGAATCAGGCTGCGAACCACAAAGTCAGCAATTTGAAACTACCAGCTGCTCTGCAGGAGAAAGATGAGACTTTCTGCTCCTGTAAAGATTTACAGCCTCAGAAACCCTGTTTAGGTTTGCTATGGGTCGGAACTGACTCGATGGTACAACAACTCTTCCTGAAGAATTCTGTGCTCTTTGATTTACAACACATCAAAATGGCACTTTTGGCATCTTCAAGGAACTCAAATCATGTTCCTTTTAAATGTTCTTCAAGTTTGGGGAACAAAAAGAAGTTTGAAGGGGAAAGATCAGGACTGTAGGATGGGTAGGAAAAAAATTACCAGTGAAATTCTTGTAAGACAATCCTTTCTACTGGTCCCCCAAGAATGAGAGAGGTGCATTGGAGTGATGGGAAAAATAATTATTTGGTGCAACTTTCCTAGAAGTTTTCTCACCAGTTTAGTCTTCCATTTCTTAAAACGTCATCCAGTAATCATCCTATATCTTTTGAGAAAATCTATTACGATTATCCCTTGGGAAACAACAAAAAGCAGTTATCATTACCTTCCAATATGACCTCTCTGCCTTAAATTGAACTGGCCTAGCACTTCCCCTCAAATAGCCACTGTTTTCATTGGACTTGCTCTCTGGATCATGTTGGTGAATCCAATATTCATCCTTGGTTACGATTCATTCCATAAAATCATCTTCACTGGCTTTGATCTTGCTTAAAATACTATGGAAAGATCAAATCTTGGAGCTAGCTGATCTTTGCACAACTCTTGGGCATTCATCAAGCTTAGAGCCTGCTGAGGCCAAGATGTTGCTTGAAATCGAAAGTGCCAAACCAGGTGAGATCCCTGACTATTGCATTAATGGCTCGTTTCCACTAGATTCTGGGCTCCAGCCACTCTCTTTCTTCTTTAAGGATCATTCTTCCTTCTCTTGGTTCATCTTTGAGGTCTTCCTGACTTTGTTTAAGATACTAGATCCATCTAGACACTGTTGCTTTATGTGGGACACCATTCCTATAAACTTGTTGAAAAACTTCAGTGATTTGGGAAGATGTCCAGGAGCTATATAACAGTCTCAGTTTCATCCCAGGGAAATTCTAGAGGCGACTAGCCGAAACCTCAGCCTGGTGCCTGGACAGCTGGTTAGCACGTCCCAGGCCCGTGGCATTTGGACTAAAAATAGACACCACTGGGGTGGTTTTAAGTGTTCTCGGGAGTCACTGTCAAAGAGAGGCAGAAAGGGCTTCTCAGTCAGTTGGGCCTGGCATCCAAGTCTCCTCCATTTCCTGAAGATGGCCCGGGGCCTACAGGGCAGTAGTATAAACCCCACCTTGGCCACTGGCTAGCTATGTGACCTTGGGCATGTCACTTCCACCCTGCAAGCTTTGGTGAACAGGAAGAACAATCACTACCAAACATTACAATGACAAGCGAAGCAGGGAACCTGGGACCCAGCATTCATTCACAGAGTCCAATACTGTTTGTTCAGAAAACGTTAGAGCTGGTACTGTGTACCCAGGACAGTGGATGCACGAAACGAAAGTGCACTGTATTGTTCAGGAGATCCAAGTATTCCAAGATACCAGACGGCAGGCAGACCATTAGGTTAACAAGTGATACAGCAGAACTATTCGGAGGGGTTTTGTGGGAACTGGGGGAGGGTGCCTAATCCAGTGTGGGTGTCGGGATGACATCCAAAGAGGTGGCAACTGAGTAGGAGCACGGTCAGATTAACCAATCAGCAAAGTAAGCATGGGCTTACTTATCAATCTGTAGTGAACAATTTTTGTTTTTTACCACATGAAGGATTCTGCTTCTAGGCATGGTTAGCATCTGTCTCTCTCCCAACATCACAAAACCTTCTTACAGAATCAAAACCTCTTTTCAAATTTAAAATCCCTGATAGGGATGGAAGGAGTCCTGGTGGCACAGTGAGTTAAGTGCTGGGCTGCTAACTACAAGCTTGGCGGTTTGAACCCACCAGCTGCCTCATTGGAGAAAGATGAGGCTGCTTGTTCCCATAAAGATTTACAATCTTAGAAACTGTATCAAGCAGTTTTCCTCTATCTGAAAGGGTTGCCAAGAGTCGGAAGCAAATTAACGGCAATGGGTTTTGTTTTTGTTTGTCTTGATAGGGATGGAATGCCCAGTAAGCAAGGTAAGCATGGGCTTACTTGTGCTTACTGACCTTGCTTGTTGAGTAATGTACCCCTGAGGAGGAGCTAGCCAGGTGAAAGGGATAAGGAGAAACAAAGAACTTCCTAGCGAAGGCACAGAAAGAAAGAGGGCAAGGCCGGTTTCTGTTTGCTGGGAAACATAATAGTGCTTACCAAGTGCTACCCACTACTCTAAGTACTTCACATGTACCACCTTGTTTCATGGAGTCCTGGTGTGGCACTGCAGGTTAATGCGGTGGACTGCAAGGTAGGGTTAAACCCCAAGGTCAACAGTTCAAGCTCCTCAGTAACCCTATACAGGGTCACTTGGAGTCAGAATCGACTCCACAGCATGTCACAGTAACAACAAATTATTTTATCCTCAAAACAACCCTGAAGTCCATTGTGTAAATACCGAAGCTGGGGCTTGTCCAATGTCACATAGTAAGAAAAGGAGCTAGGATTTAAACACAGGAATAGGTCTCCAAGGCGATACTAAAGTTGGGGAATTCTGGGGACATGTCAAGGAATGGGTTGCAGGAGGCAGAAGAGGTCAGACCACGAGAGCAGGGCCTCAGTTTCCTCACCTGATAGGGGGCTGGAATTGGAGGTCCTAAGAGCTCTTTGTCTGGAATAAACTAATGTGGATTGGACTCCAAGTCCTCCACTTCCTAGCTTAGGGTCTGCACGTAATTCATTCAATACTCTGGGCCTCACTTCCCATGTCTGTAAACTGACAGAATGTTTACTAAGTGGATGTGTCTGTGTTGGTCTCTAAGGTTTCTTTTCCGCTTCAAGGGTCTAGAACTAGTCTGTGGCTGTGAGTAAATCCTTTCTCTTCCTTAGGCCTCAGTTTCCCCTGAGGCTTGAAGGGTTTGGGCCAGAAGTTGCCTCGTTCTTTCCAGCTCTGTTACAGTGACTAGATGAGACTGTGGGTGGGAGTAGGGAGTTCCTAGAGAGAGAAGGAAAAGATAGGGGGCACACTTGTTGGGGAAGGGTCAGTCCCGCCTTGCAAAAAACCTAGAACTGGCCCTCTTCCCCAATCTACCAGTGCCTGAGCCCAGCCCCAGTCTTCCGGCTGTGTCTGTGGGGAGGAGCTGGCTCTAATGAAGAGGAGGGCTGCGGACCGGTGGTTTTGAGAAGAGGGCAGACCTGAGCATATCGGTCTGGCCAGGGGTTGGGGGCCCCAGGAAGAGGCGGGGCTTCAATGGGGATTGGGAAAGAGGCAGGTGCTTGGATCCTCTGGGAGAGGCTGGGAGGCATCAAGTGGAGAGGGTGGAGGGTTGGGGTTTTGACAGGGCAAGAGGGTAACAAGCAGGCACTAAGCTTGTGCGCTGCGGGGAGATAAAGCAGGGACTGGTGTCCTGGAAAAGTGGGTGCACAGCCATGAAGGAAAAAGCAGGAGTCTCTGTGGGGGCGAGGAGGCAGGGAAAGGGTCTTACTGCGGAAAGCAGAGGTGGGGACCGGGCAGCGGGGCGCACCTGAAGTCCTTGTCGCTGGATGTCATCTTCTCCAGGAGGCTGGAGATGTGGAAAGAGGAGGCGTTCATGGTGGCTGCGCGTCTCTGGGGAGCCGGCCCGAGAGAATATGGCGCGCGCACCCGCAGGCTGAGTTCACGGGATAGAAATAGCAGCTCCCGCCCTGGCCAGCGGCCGGGGCAGCCAGAGGGGCGTGGTCCGGAGAGCCCAGCAGGGTTTGCACAGCCTCAGAATACCCACTATGATTCCTCTGGGTCCTGGCTCTCTCCTTCAGGCCACTCAACCCTGCCCGCATACCATCGGCTGAGGATGACCCTGGCCTGGTTTTCGAAGTAGGGGGAAAAAGGATCTCTGTGTCTCTCAGTTCTGACACCTTCCAATACTATGGTTGCAGGCACAGTGCCCATCCCAGCTCTAATTTCCTGAACGGATAACTTTGGCCAAGTTACTTCACATCTTAGTTTCTGTATTCTCACCTGAAAAATAAAGCAGTAAGCACTGGAGAACATGGCTCCGACTCATAGTGACTCTGTATAGGGTTTCTGATGGCTGGTGAGCTTGAATGGCTGACCTTGCTGTTCAGCGCATTAACCAACAACGCCACATCAGAACTCAGGTCAATCTGAGGGGCCTTGGGAGCCTCTTGGAAAGAGTTACTAGGAAAGCAAAGACTTCGTCTCTGGAACTGTGGATTTCTTTGGTTCTCCACTGTATCCCCAGCTCCTGTTCATTGAGCGCATTCTCAGCGGTGGATGATTTCTATGAACTGTAGCCCCGTAACACTATGGAGAAGGCCCTTGAGCAGCAGTGGTGGGCCCAGCTGAGGCCCTCGTGTGACCCAACCCCGACATCTGCTACTTGACCTCTCCAAGTCTCCCTGAGACAGGGACCTAGGGGGCATCTTGGAAAGTGAAAGCATTAATCCCAAGACCTTGCCCAATTTACGGTCTATTTACTGTAAAGGGACCACCCATAAAATGTCCGTATTTTAGGTCCTTGTAAGGGTGTTTTACAGGCTAACTGGTTTTATTCATCTTGAAGGATGACCTTTCTCTGGAGGCAGAGGAGAACATCAGCCCGTGGGAGGGTCTAGAACTGGAGACCTGTAGAACCACACATGTGCGACATCCCACAATAAGTTTTGTCTGTACCTACCAGAGACCTTTGCATTGGAATCCATCTTAAAAAAATTGGGTTGCACGGAAACCTAATCAGCACAGTCCCTCTGAAATGGGTCACTTCCCGTAAATCCCCGCCTATTCCTATGAAGAAATATGATGCCATTTTCCCATCCCAAACTTTTTTAACATCATTAAAGTCTTTGTTTGGGGAGATGGGGGTTAAATACTGCATTAAGCCCTCTGTCTCTACTTGCCTATAATAAACCTTTGCTCCTTTGGAAACCCTGCCTCTCCCGTCTAATCTTTATCTATAGAAGGCAAGAAGAGCCTTCTCCTGCAGGGCTGAGGTGTGATTAGCATTCTGGGTAACACTCAGTCTCCCAGGCTGACCTACCCCAGAGCCAGGCAAAATCTAGAGAGTGTATCTAGTCACTCTAGGTCCCCTGCTTGCCACCCTCAACCCTCAGGCCCATAGCCTGGTTCTGGCTTTATAGTGGTGCACCTGGGGCCCAGAGAGGCCCAGGGACTTGCCCAGGGTCACACTACCAACAAATCTGGAATGCAGTCAGGATTGGGCAACCTTTTTTCCTTGAAGCTGCCCACAGCATTCCCATATTTAGGTACAAGATCAGAGTTGGGTATCTGTAGGAAAATCAGGAGGCTACTGACTTGGTAAATGTAGTTAGCACTTTAGAGCAAGACAGCTCTGGGTTCAAGTCTTTTCTAGACCACTTTCTGGCTTCATGGCCTTGGGGTAGTCACAACTCCTTTGAGGTATGTTTTTCTCAGCCATAAAGATTTTTTTTAAATGTTTATGTTATTTATTAACTTACCATATCTGCCAGAACCAGGTTCTAGATTGGTATTGTCCAATAGCGCTTTCAAGTGATGTTAAAAATGTTGGACAACTGCACTGCCCAGCACGATAGCCACTGGTCATTTGGGTACTTGAAATGGAACTAGTGTAACTCAGGAACTGAATTCTTCATTTTACTTAATTTTAACTAATTTAAATTTAAATAATGCGTGAGAGTCTAAAACCACAGGCACTTGGTGTGTGTGAACAAAATAGAAAACCGAGCCATAACTCCACTTTAAAGCCTTGCCCAGAGTCTGGAATCAATGTTGGACTTTGAAGCTGCCCTTTCTAACACGGTTTCTCTAACCTTGATTCTAACCTAAGCATAGACCTAAAAGTGACTTTCTACAGGTATAGGATATCACAATGTCATCCCAGAGGGTCTCTCCCCTATGATCACACAGATGCCTAAACTCAAAGGGACTTGATGCACAGCAGTAACAATAAATCTGTACAATGGACCCCCAAAACCAGACGTGCTTGAACCCCACTGAAACCTGTTCAGCATTATAGCAACATGAAAACATAATTTAGAGCAGGTTCCCTGAAAATCCTGTCCTGCCATTGTCCTGTGACCGTTTTGTCATGGACTGAAGAGCTTGTGTGCTTGCAATTTTGTATCTTAACCAATCATGTAACCACATATAAGTTATCCACCTGTTCTTGCAAAATCCCCACTTTTAGGTATCCCTCTTTTGACTTCCCTGTCTTTCAACATTTTTGTAACTTTTAGTTCCTGCTCCAGCTGTACAAAAATGTTTTTTTCCTCAGTGTTCGGCATCATAGCCAGCTTCACTCTCTGAATCTGAGACAATCCGGACTGTCTCCTTCTCTCAATAAGGCTCTCTTGCTTTCACTTTAGGCAGACTCTGTGATGTTTTTGCTCTACAATAATACCCACGTGGCTGCTGTCTTAAGCTGGGCTCCCTAGAGAAATGAAATCAATGAAATTGTATATGAGGGTCTTAAAAAACCCTCATGAAAGTGCATATTATGAAAAAACTATACAGGGATTTTTAAAATTTTATTTTTTGCACTAAAATAACTCTCATTAACTTGTTATAGCATGTCTAACAAGGTCTAGTTTGAAGCACTTAGAAGGATAAGACATCAGTTTGAAAAGAGCTCCTCTCCGGGCCTTAGGTGGAATCCTGAGCCCCACCCAGAACCTTATGAGGTGGGATATTCACACTTGAAAAGACATGCAGACCAACCTGGAACACCTAGAAGAACAGAAATTACTTTTTTTTAAAAAAAGTTTTTATTGTGAATTGAGTGAAAATTTACAGGGCAGATCATCAGTTTTATATTAAACAAATCATATATCTTGTTTCATTACAATGATTGTAATCCCCTCCATGTACCATCAGATAACAGTATTACTCTCTATTCATTTTAGTTCTTTAAAAACAAACAAAACAAACTCAGGCATATATAATAATTTACACCACCAAAGAGCACATTCTGCAAGTCTGTAGAAATTACTTTTTGAAAGAAAGACCAGCAGAAAAAAAGCAGACTGTTTGGCTGTTAGAATATTAAGCAAGCTGTTTGCCTTGGAGTCATCAAGGCAAGAAAAGCCAGCCCATCAAGGTAAACACCTTTCTAAGACTGAAACACAAAGGGAACCCACTAGCAGTCTAGGATGGTCACTGGTGTGCCCTCCCTCCCCATGGGGGAAATGCAGTAATGAAAACATGGGCTGAGTTTGGCTATGTACCATTGGCACCCATTGACCTTGAGAAGAGCGAGAAGAGGAAAGAGGAAGGGCTGGCTGGTCTGAAGTTTAGGGAGCTGTGTGAACTCCCAAGCCCATGGATACTGACCTAGCCACTGAGGATAGAACTGAGAGTGAAGCAGCCAGCTGGTCTGAAGTGCGGGAAGTTGTGCGTGAACTCCCAGACTTGCATATAGTATCCATTTGACCTAACTTGGATGGCTAGCTGACCAGAACTCGATGAGATGAAAATAAAGAAGTCTGATACTGTGAGCAAGCATAAATTGCTACAATTTGATGAACTGAACCTATGCTTATGGATGCAATTGCTTCAAATTCCAACCAAAAGGGAAGGACTCTTCATATCAAGTATCAAGCTTGCCTCCTCAGTACACTGGGTTGATAGATACTGTCAATTTAGACATTGGCTATAAAAAATAGGGAGCTATAAAGGCACAAAGTGGCTGGCTTACAAGCTTTTATGAGTGTGCTTAGTTTCAGAACAAGGTGGGTAAGGTAGAATCTCCACTGAATAGTTCTCCTCTTTCCCAGATGGATCTGGTAAAAGGGGATGGGGAATATGGTGATAGGATTTTAATGATTCAATTGTGAGTTAATTGTTAGCAGGATTAATTGTGATGGTCACAACTGTAAGTGTACAAGATGTGTAACTAAAAGGGGGGAGTAGTTAATTTTTCATTTCAGAAACAGAGGACACTAAGTCCATCAAGAAGGAAGAGCATGAGTGGAGTATGTGTTCCTACTCAGAAAAGTGGCAACAGCAGAGACAGTGGCAGAGGCAATGGTATGGAGAGAGAGAGCAGCTGAGGATTCTAGGCCCATGGACTGAGAAAGGCTGTGTGCTGTGGGCAGGAGGCTGGCTTGCAAAATGTGCCCTTTAGACATTTAAATGAATATGTATTTTTTGTTTTGTATGTGCACACCAAATATTTTTGCTTTGTTTATTTGTGAAATATAAGATGTAAAAGGGAAGCCAGAGGGTGGAAGCAGGATATGTTCTTACAAGGAGGTAGTATACTTGTTTAGATGAGGTAAAATGTATGATTGGTTGAAAGTAAAGTTGACTATCTTGCATGTATGTGTTTTTTTTTGTTTTTTTTTTTAAAGGTACAACCCTGCTGCTCACCTGTCCTGATTTAAAACCATTCAGTATCCCTTGTTCTGTTGTAACAACTGCCTCTTGATCTATGTAAAGGTTTCTTATGCACATAACTAAGTGTTCTTTGCAATGTTATCCATAGTTTGTCATGATCCACACAATCAAAAGCCTCTGCATAGCCAATAAAACAAAGGGAATCATCTTTCAGCTAAAAAAAAAAAAAAAAAGAGAGAGACCCTATCAGAACAACATGAATTCTGCTAAAATAGAAGAAAGAGCAAGCATCAATATTTTGGT